AATAGAAGTGAGACTGCTAGTGTTTCAAGCGTAGGTTATATATGGATGAACAAATCAACAAGGGCCGTGACGAAGATTCGAACCTGCGTCCGGGAGCATCCCAGACACTGCCTTAATCGTCTGGGATGCTCCCGGACGCAGGTTCGAATCCTCGTCACGGCCCGTGTTGATTTGTTCATTTGATGCATCACGTTAGTGTGATCTTTGTGTGTTATATATGAATGAGTTTGGACGGGAATGAATAGAAGTTGCCTCGCATGGTCCAATAGGAGCTTCTCCTATTGGTCCAGTAGGAGCTCCTATTGGTCTAACAGGAGCTCCTATTGGTCCAATAGGAGCTTCTCCTATTGGCCAAGCGGAGCTGCCTCGTGTTGTTCCATAGGGCATCTCCAGAGTCCTTTATTATTTCCACTTTACTTTCTACAACTTCGTTTTGTGTTTAACAAAATAAGCATTCAACGCTGGAGCTGCATATTTCAAAACTGGTCTGACGGATGTTAGATACAGGGTCCTAAATGACTATTCAGATTGCTAAAGGTGGTTCCTTATGCTGGCTATTCTTGCATATGCAGCTGATGTTATCCGTCTGATGTGAGCCTCGGGAGAGAGAGAGTTTCGGTGTGATATCACCCACTTGGACAGCTTGAGGCTTCAAGAAGACCTGGACAAGCTGCAGGAATGGTCGAATAAATGGTTGTTAGAGTTTAACCCAAGCAAATGTAATGTAATGTAATGAAGATAGGGGTAGGAAGCAGGAGGCCAGATACAAAGTATCATTTGGGAGACGAAATAAAGTCAGGAGTCAGAGAGAGAAAGACTTGGGGGTTGATATCACGCCAGACCTGTCTCTTGAAGCTCATATCAAGAGGATAACATCAGCAGCATATGCCAGGTTGGCTAACATAAGAACGGCCTTTAGAAACTTGTGTAAGGAATCTTTCAGAACATTATATACCACATATGTCAGACCAATCCTGGAGTATGCGGCTCCAGCATGGAGTCCATATCTAGTCAAGCATAAGACTAAAATGGAAAAGGTTCAAAGGTTTGCCACCAGACTAGTACCCCAGCTGAGAGGTATGAGCTACGAGGAGAGACTACGGGAATTAAACCTCACTTCGTTGGAAGACAGAAGAGTTAGGGGAGACATGATCATCACATTCAAGATTCTGAAGGGAATCGACAGGGTAGATAAAGACAGGCTGTTTAACACAAGGGGCACACGCACTAGGGGACACAGGTGGAAACTGAGTGCCCAAATGAGCCACAGAGATATTAGAAAGAACTTTTTTAATGTCAGAGTGGTTGAAAAATGGAATGCATTAGGCAGTGATGTGGTGGTTACCTACCTTGAGGTTACCTTGAGGTGCTTCCGGGGCTTAGTGTCCCCGCGGCCCGGTCGTCGACCAGGCCTCCTGCTTGCTGGACTGATTAACCAGGCTGTTAGACGCGGCTGCTCGCAGCCTGACGTATGAGTCACAGCCTGGTTGATCAGGTATCCTTTGGAGGTGCTTATCCAGTTCTCTCTTGAACACTGTGAGGGGTCGGCCAGTTATGCCCCTTATGTGTAGTGGAAGCGTGTTGAACAGTCTCGGGCCTCTGATGTTGATAGTTCTCTCTTGAACACTGTGAGGGGTCGGCCAGTTATGCCCTTTATGTGTAGTGAAAGCGTGTTGAACACTCTCGGGCCTCTGATGTTGATAGTTCTCTCTTGAACACTGTGAGGGGTCGGCCAGTTATGCCCCTTATGTGTAGTGGAAGCTTGTTGAACAGTCTCGGGCCTCTGATGTTGATAGAGGCTGGAGGCTGACTCCATACACAGTTTCAAGAGTAGATATGATAGAGCCCAGTAGGCTCAGGAACCTGTACACCTGTTGATTGACGGTTGAGAGGCGGGACCAAAGAGTCAGAGCGCATCCCCCGCAAGCACAACTAGGTGAGTATACAGTTACGAGGAGAGACTAGAGGCATTAAACATGCCAAAACTAGTCGAATAAAAAATGGTGATATGATCACCACTTACAAAATACTAACAAGAATCGACCAAATTGACATTGAGGAATTCCTGGAACCAGCAGCTTGAAGAACAAGAGGACACAGATTCAAGCTAAGGAAACAAAGGTGCGGAAAATATATTAGAAAGTTTTCTTGTTCAAAGTGTTAGACGGTTGGAACAAGTGAGAAGGTGGTGGAGGCCAAGACCGTCAGTGTTTCAAAGCGTTATACGACAAAGAGTACTGGGAAGACGGGATACCACGAGCGTGGTTCTCATCCTGTAACTACACTTAGGTAATTACACTTAGGTAACTACATAGTGAACGGCGCTTGAGAGTCGTAGATCATAGGGCTTCGACTCCCGGCCTAGGCAGAAACATCTGCATCTGATACATCTGTTCACCTTGCAGTAAATAGGTGCTTGGTAGTTAGACAGCTGTTCCCGGCTGCATCCGATGGTTCAAGTGGTTGGACAGTGTTCACTGTCTTCTTTCCTCGTATCCCAGCTCCTTGTCCTCATACCCCAGCTCCTTGTCCTCATATCCCAGCTCCTTGTCCTCATACCCCAGCTCCTTGTCCTCATATCCCAGCTCCTTGTCCTCATACCCCAGCTCCTTGTCCTCATACCCCAGCTCCTTGTCCTCATATCCCAGCTCCTTGTCCTCATACCCCAGCTCCTTGTCCTCATATCCCCAGCTCCTTGTCCTCATACCCCAGCTCCTTATCATCATATCCCAGCTCCTTGTCCTCATATCCCAGCTCCTTGTCCTCATACCCCAGCTCCGTGGCCTCATACTCCAGCTCCTTGTCCTCATACCCCAACTCCTTGTCCTCATACCCCAGCTCCTTGTCCTCATACCCCAACTCCTTGTCCTCATACCCCAACTCCGTGTCCTCATACCTCAGCTCCTTGTCCTCATACCCCAGCTCCTTGTCCTCATACCCCAGCTCCTTGTCCTCATATCCCAGCTCCTTGTCCTCATACCCCAGCTCCTTGTCCTCATACCCCAGCTCCTTGTCCTCATACCCCAGCTACTTGTCCTCATACCCCAGCTCCTTGTCCTCATACCCCAACTCCGTGTCCTCATACCTCAGCTCCTTGTCCTCATACCCCAGCTCCTTGTCCTCATACCCCAGCTCCTTGTCCTCATACCCCAGCTCCTTGTCCTCATACCCCAGCTCCTTGTCCTCATATCCCAGCTCCTTGTCCTCATACCCCAGCTCCTTGTCCTCATATCCCAGCTCCTTGTCCTCATGTCCTAGCTCCTTGTTCTCATACCCCAGCTCCTTGTCCTCATACCCCAGCTCCTTGTCCTCATATACCAGCTCCTTGTCCTCATACCCCAGCTCCTTGTCCTCATATCCCAGCTCCTTGTCCTCATATCCCAGCTCCATGTTCTCATACCCCAGCTCCTTGTCCTCATACCCCAGCTCCTGGTCCTCATACCCCCAGCTCCGTGTCCTCATATCCCAGCTCCTTGTCCTCATATCCCAGCTCCTTGTCCTCATACCCCAGCTCCTTGTCCTCATACCCCAGCTCCTTGTCCTCATATCCCAGCTCCTTGTCCTCATATACCAGCTCCTTGTCCTCATACCCCAGCTCCTTGTCCTCATATCCCAGCTCCTTGTCCTCATATCCCAGCTCCTTGTCCTCATACCCCAGCTCCTTGTCCTCATATCCCAGCTCCTTGTCCTCATATACCAGCTCCTTGTCCTCATACCCCAGCTCCTTGTCCTCATATCCCAGCTCCTTGTCCTCATATCCCAGCTCCTTGTCCTCATACCCCCAGCTCCGTGTCCTCATATCCCAGCTCCTTGTCCTCATATCCCAGCTCCTTGTCCTCATACCCCAGCTCCTTGTCCTCATACCCCAGCTCCTTGTCCTCGTATACCTTCCAGGTGCTGCTGTCATTCCAATTTAGTACCTTCTCGTAATTACATCGAATATCTCATGTAGTTCGCTTTGTTAATTTTTCTTGATATTTTGTATGTTGTTGACATGTCCTCTCCTAGCCCCTTTTCCTCCAGTGTAGTGAGGTATATTTTTATGAGATGTTATCTTCAACTCACGCCTTTCCATGGTGGAATATGTCTGTTTTTTGGAGTTTGTGTAGACGTGAGCTAGAGAGTATGATATCGTGTCATCTTATGTGGTAGAGAGTGTGATATCGTGTCATCTTATGTGGTATAGAGTATGATATCGTGTCATCTTATGTGGTAGAGAGTGTGATATCGTGTCATCTTATGTGGTAGAGAGTATGATAGTGCGTCATTTTATGAGCTAGAGAGTATGATAGCGTGTCATCTTATGAGCTAGAGAGTATGATATCATGTCATCTTATGAGCTAGAGTATATTTTGTGGTATACGTGACGTATATGAGCTATATATGAGTCCAGGGTCCTCGTAGCCTGGTGGATAGCGCGCAGGACTCGTAATTCTGTGGCGCGGGTTCGATTCCCGCACGAGGCAGAAACAAATGGGCAAAGTTTCTTTCACCCTGAATGCCCCTGTTACCTAGCAGTAAATAGAGTACCTGGGAGTTAGTCAGTTGTCACGGGCTGCTTCCTGGGGGAGTGGAGGCCTGGTCGAGGACCGGGATATCGGGACACTAAAAAGCCCCGAAATCATCTCAAGATAACCTCAAGATATATAGCACGCCAGATATGACTTATATGAGTATGTTAACCTCCAGACACTATATAAAGTGGGTATATCAACTTCCATATATCACGTATAATGATACATGACCCTCCATATATGGCGTATAAGGGTATATCAACCACAGTACATCACATATAATGATACATGACCCTCCATATATGGCGTATAAGGGTATATCAGCCACAGTACATAACATATAATGGTACATAACCCTCCATATATGGCGTATATATATATATATCACCCGCCAGACATGCCGTGTGAAGCTATATCACCCCCCCCCTCCCCCTCTCTTATAAAACAAACTCGCAATAAGTGAATAATGAACAATTAAAACACAAGTTAAAAATGTTATTTATCAAAGTTTAATAACATGCAATAGGAACACAACCTTCTTTAGTGAAAAAAAACAAATTATAATTGTTTTATATCTATTATAGAGGCTCATTATTTAATGGGTTATATTATATAATATATTATTATACTCAAGAGCTCAATGGTACATGAATTTTTTTTTTTTGGTGCTGATATAGTCATGAAGCTGCCAGTTAGTAGGTAGATAGATAGCAGATAGACTAACAACATATAAATTTATAGCTGGTAGATTTATATCAGACACATTGATAAAAGATTTACACATTTGTTCCTGACTATCCTCAAAATGACTGTTCAAGTTGTAGATAAAAAATCTACAGTAAATAACTGCATTTTACATAAAAAATCACAAATAGAGCATCTCACCTTACCATACACAGACACAAACACACACATTTATATATATATATATATATATATATATATATATATATATATATATATATATATATATATATATATATATATATATATATATATATATATATATATATATATATATATATATATATATATATATATATGTATCTATATAACTAAACTTATTAAACTAAACAATTAGTTAATAAGCAATAAACGATTAATTCAATTAACACTAAGATGATGTCAACAGTCGTGCCCAAACCTATGAATAGTGAGAAAAAACAACAATAATTCCCGTGGGCATAATACCCAAGAGTAGCGTTGTTTGGAGCTCGAATTCAACGTTATCGACGTTGACTTAACGTAGATTTGACGTTGTTTTCGGATAGTATGGCCACTGGAGCAAAGGGGATCACTATATCAAGGGGTGATATAGTGATATATCATATATAGATATATCATAGGAGCTAAAATACAATTAGTAAACATATCGCTGGGAGCACCTCGGAGCTATAGAGATCAGTATTATCAAGCATTGAGTTGCTGTTGAGACGTCTCTCGACGTTGGTATAACGTTCTCTTGACGTTTGACCCGACGTTCTACGACATCCTCTTGACGTTTGACACGACGTTCTCGGGAAAATGATGCTGGAGGTATCCCACGTGCTCAGAAGCTAATCTTATCTTTCCGATTCCTCTTCGGTCTCAGCATCTTGGTCCTAGGGAGGGAGAGATAACTGAGAGGTGAGAGAAAAACAAAACTGTATGCGAGTTTGTCTGTATATCTCAGCATGACGTATGTACATCTAAGTGTACAACCCGTCATCTTAAAAATAACGTCACTTTTCGCTGGTATGCGCGCTATGGCCAAATTTGGACGTAATTTGAAATGAAATCGACTCACAAAAGTGACGTACTGTCCCTTTCTGTTTGAGTCGTCCGGCTTACTCGGTAAGGTTAGAAGAGGAAACTTTCAATTAACGTTTTTCATAACGTTTTGAAACTTTATGAGAATTTCCTACCTACTTAACCTATCAGAGGACCCTTAACTTACTGTTGTTAAAAAAAATCCCCAATTTATTTTCATTTCAAATTATGTCCACTTTCGGCCATACGAGTAAACGGCCAAAAGTGACGTTATTTTTAAGAGGACAGGTTCCAACGACGCTGGAATTGGTCCTGGTTCGACGTTGAATGAACGTTATTAACGTTGGATTAACATTTCACCAACGTTTGATTAATGTTTAACCAACGTTTGTGGTCAATGTTTAGCCAACGTTTGGGGTCAATGTTTAACCAACGTTGTATCAATGGTTCATCAACGTTTAATAGGTGTTGAATTAATAATGATTTAGTGTTACATCAATGTCGTTTACCCAGGGAACGGGTATGAGGAAGCAGCGGCTGCCAGGTTAACGACCATTTGGCTACCATGCGGACTAAAATTCATCAAACATTTACCTGTCCACTTACGAAACCTGTACATCTTTCCTCGAGCATGGCAGCATAGTCTGTATGTATTAAACAGTTTACGAGCTTGGAAGTTTACAACCCAAGGTTATATATTGTTATTAACAACCTCGTAGTGCTTTGGGGCTCATAAACTGTGGTGTAAAGATGTACAGGTTTCGTAAATTGGTACTTTCAATTTTTTTTTTTTAGTTATACATTGTGAACCCAAAGGCTCTTTGTTTTCATGATGGGTTGCAATCAACCGTTTATTTAGTTGATTGTATGTCATGTTATTCATTCATTTATTGATTGATGTATTAATTCATTCAGTTTAGTGTTCGTTTATTCATTAATATAAGTTTGTTATTGATTTATTAATTATTAATTTATGTTGTGGTCTCTGTCTCCATGTCAATTTTGCCTTGAACTCTTTCTCGGTTACTCTTCATCGGTAAATGTGTTCACTCTGATTCACTCACTTTCACTGACTCATTTGCTCATTCCGATTTACTCACTCTCACTCTGATTCTCTTCCTCTCACTTTGATTCTCTTCCTCTCACTCTCACTGTGATTCCCTCACTCTCACTCTCACTCACTCTCAGTCTCTACGCAGCACACTCACCTCCTTCAACAGCTCCTCAAGTTTGGCTGCTCTCTCCTCTGCTTCCTGCCACTTGGCCTGCAAAATACAGGGTTAGAAATATTAATATTAGGCCGGAATGATTCTCTTATGCATGCTGGAGGTTGACTTTCAGCTATTGGGTCCCGCCTGTATGCCTCTGCTGGAGGGTGAATTCCAGCTATTGGGTCCCACCTGTTACCCTCTGCTGGAGGTTGAATTTCAGCTATTGGGTCCCGCCTGTATGCCTCTGTTGGAGGGTGAATTCCAGCTATTGGGTCCCACCTGTTACCCTCTGCTGGAGGTTGAATTTCAGCTATTGGGTCCCGCCTGTATGCCTCTGCTCTGGGTTGCATTTTAGCTATTGGATCCCGCCTGTATGCCACTGCTAGGGATTGTATATATATATCTCCACCTTCCTCACCTCGCTATCGTCCCCCCCTCCCAACCTTGCTATCTGCTCTTCGCACCTTGCTATCTCCCCCTCCCTTCCTTGCTATCTCCCCCTCCCTTCCTTGCTATCTCCCCCTCCCTTCCTTGCTATCTCCCCCTCCCTTCCTTACTATCTTCCCCCCATCCCCCAATGTGCTATCTATACAACAGGCAAACACAAGAAATTGCGACTTTTACAACAGCGAGACACAGAAAATGGAGAGTTTTACCCATAGCGAGAGACAGAAAATGGAGAATTTTACCAATAGCGAGTCATAGAAAATGGAGAGTTTTACCCCATAGCGAGACATAGAAAATGGAAAGTTTTACCCATAGCGAGACACAGAAAATGGAGAGTTTTACCCATAGCGAGACACAGAAAATGTAGTTTTACCCATAGCGAGACAGAAAATGGAGAGTTTTACCCATAGCGAGAGACAGAAAATGGAGTTTTACCCATAGAGAGACACAGAAAATGGAGAGTTTTATCCATAGACACAGAAAATGGGTTTCCGATTATTTGGGTTTTCCAATTATCTAATTCGCTGGCAATTGGTTGCTCTCGCGGACTTTTCATCGAAATAAGACTTTTACACACTGATGAAAGAAGAGCGGAAAAGGCTTGCGCCAGACGGCTCTGTATCCTATTACTCAGCTTTAAATTGGTCGGATTTCTTCCAAATGGACCAATTTCACGACTCAATTATCTTATCTATAAAGCTGACTGACATAGATTTATCTAATAGCAAGGTGTTAAGAGGAAATTAAACTGGTTTATTTTGTGTGATTGTATTGTGTAATTGTATGTGTGATTGTATTGTTTTTGTATGACTGCGTGATTGTATTGTTGTTATTGTATGAGCGTGACTTGTGTAATGAGAGGAAATGGAGGGAAGGGAACTATCAGGAGGGAAAGCACCAAGACATTAAGACTATATAGCACTGGGAAGGGGTCAGGATAAGGATTTGGGATGGGACGGGGAGAAGGAATGGTGCCCAACCACTTGTGGACGGTCGGGGATTGAACGCCGACCTGCATGACGCGAGATTGTTGCTCTACCGTCCAGCCCAAGTGGTTGGGCGTGATGAGAGAGAGAAGTGCACAAAATGATTCTCCAGCGAACTCATGACGTCACAACAAAGCCTGTTTTACGTTTTAAAAAGCGTAATAAAAACGTTACTAGAACGTTGCAATCAGGCTAAGTTGAGTTGAATATTTGCTGTGGAATTGTATCGGTAGTAGAATTGGGTTTTACTCTCGACTCACAATCGGGAATCCCGGGTTCGTATCCCGGGCAGGACAGAAATGGTTGAGGACGTTTCCTTTCCACCTTATGACTCTGTTCACTTAACAGTAAATAGGTACCTAGGAGTTAGATAAAAGTTGTGGGGTTGCATCCTGGGAAGGGTCAGTAGAGTTCCACCTTGGGGGACACCTCGATATAATCCTAAATATAAATATACACAGGCTGCCTGTCCCCCCGACAAATGAATTATTATTATTATATATTTATATTATATTATATTATATTATAATATTATATATATTATTATTCTTACCATATAATTTCTCCTTGAAAAAGATTTCATTAAATGTTGGTAACGCTTCTCCTTGGAGAGCTTTAATTAAGACTGTGTTTATTTTGGTTTATATAAAACACCTGCAAGATGTTTGGATTCTTATCGCACACCTGCATGATGTTACGGCTGTTATCAGACATGTGTATGATGTTACAACTACTAAATCTGTTCTTAATGCAGATAAAAAATCTGCATTAAGGTATTGTGGTGGTCTTAATAACCCTCCAGAGGTTGATAGGTCTTAAGTCCAACAGCAAACTTGCTGGTTGGTTAGTAAGGTATTGTGGTGGTCTTAATAACCCTCCAGAGGTTGATAGGTCTTAAGTCCAACAGCAAACTTGCTGGTTGGTCAGTAAGGTGTTGTGGTGGTCTTAATAACCCTCCAGAGGTTGATAGGCCTTAAGTCCAACACCAAACTTGCTGGTTGGTCAGTAAGGTATTGTGGTGGTCTTAATAACCCTCCAGAGGTTGATAGGTCTTAAGTCCAACACCAAACTTGCTGGTTGGTCAGTAAGGTATTGTGGTGGTCTTAATAACCCTCCAGAGGTTGATAGGCCTTAAGTCCAATCACAAAACCAAGCACAAGTAGCAAGACCAGACCATAAAGGAGGTTTAAACAAGAGAAAGTCCTAATAAACCATATACAAGGTGTATGGGAAAGCTCCTAGTGTATTTATACATCTTTCAACAAATATTAGTATTGCATTTCACAAGAACTAAAATATTCGACAAATAATGTGTTCGTGTGTTCGAAACATGCAATTCGAACATGCATCCAACGAATACTTATGCATTCATTTTTTTTGAGACATGCCGTTCGAAAATAATCACATTTTTCCGAAAATGAGAGATAGTATAGTGAGACCCGCTTATAAGAGCAGAGTTCATCGCATCTTGTATATAAAACCACTTAGCCAAGCCTCAGAGACCATAATATCGATGTTGTTGTTGTTAAAGATTCTCTACCTGGAGCAAAAAGTTCCAAGTAGCACGGGCTATGGTGAGCCCGTAGTGCCTTTGTATATATGATATCGATGTTTTGTTTAATATTATCCAACACGTTCTGGTCGAGGGAACATGAGGTCATGGCAGTGGTGGTCTGAATATGACGCCTCAGTGGAGCTAAGTCACTATCATCGGCCTCTATACGCCAGGCAGGCTCCTCACACTCTATAATCACCCATATACGCCAGGCAGGCTCCTCACACGCTATAATCACCTCATATACGCCAGGTAGGCTCCTCACACGCTATAATCACCCTCATATACGCCAGGCAGGCTCCTCACACGCTATAATCACCCTCATATACGCCAGGTAGGCTCCTCACACGCTATAATCACCCTCATATACGCCAGGCAGGCTCCTCACACGCTATAATCACCCTCATATACGCCAGGCAGGCTCCTCACACGCTATAATCACCCTCATATACGCCAGGCAGGCTCCTCACACTCTATAATCACCCTCATATACGCCAGGCAGGCTACTCACACACTATAATCACCCTCATATACGCCAGGCAGGCTCCTCACACACTATAATCACCCTCATATACGCCAGGCAGGCTACTCACACACTATAATCACCCTCATATACGCCAGGCAGGCTCCTCACTCACAGGCTCCACTACACCTCATGTTGATATGAGAGAGAGAGAGAGACAGACAGAGACAGACAGACAGACAGACAGACAGACAGACAGACAGACAGACAGACAGACAGACAGACAGACAGACAGAGACATAGAGGAACCATTAGAGGAGACCAATATTGAGCCCTCTAAATACCTGCTCCTCAGCAAGACATGTTAGCAGGCGGAGGTCAAGCCAATGAACGAGCGTGGCTGAGCTCCGAGACATTTACATCCACGTTTCGTATATATCCCCTTGATTTATGTACGGGTGGAGGTCAGTGCTGAGATATATATGTATATATATATATATATATATATATATATATATATATATATATATATATATATATATATATATATATATATATATATATATATACTCTCCCTGCTCGTCTAACCTATCAGTGTGAAAAAATGAATTATTTTGTATTTAGCAAATAGTTTTTCCTGTTTTCTACAATCATCCATGTTTCTGTTAGCGCCATTTCTCCTGTTTGCTCCCACTGTTGTGGGTGCTGGCTGTGTTGCCTGTTGCAGTTCATATTTCTCCTGTTTTTCCCCCTTCAAAATCCCCAACGGATAAATAACGTGGTACTATAAATCATAGGAGATCAAGGGCAATTACGTTTGCTGTCCTTAGGTCGGTAGGCTAGGCTAGGCTAGGCTAGGCTAGGCTAGGCTAGGCTAGGCTAGGCTAGGCTTGGCTTGTGTGTTTTAGTACAGCGTTTAAGGACCGTTGTGTTAAGGTGAGAGGACAGGCAGAGGTATCAGCTAAGCATCATGTCAGTGATAACCATGATAACTAGGTATCATGTCATGTGATAACCATGATAACCAGGTTATGGCTAAGGAGGCAGTAAAAGTATGTGTTGTTGGGGGTTAAAAATGGCCGAAGGAACAGGGAAGGAGAAGGGCCTCAAAATAACAATACACTTATGGTGTATTATATAACAAAATATAACAAAATAACAATACACTTAAGGTATATTACACAAACGGGATGAGTCTATAAGAAAATAAACCATTTAAATGGTCTTGTTATCTCAGAAACAATAGATATTATCGCACTTACCGAAACATGGATGGATATATAAAACAGAGAACTATTAGCTGAATATCAGATAAATGGATTTAAACTATTTCATACTGATAGACATATTAGACGAGGAGGGGAAGTAGTAGCCATGAATGTCTGGGGAAATGTGAAATGTCTCAAAGAGGGAATCAAACCTGAGCCACACTGAATCAAATTGTGGAGCCGGTCGGCCGAGCGGACAGCCCGCTGGACTTGTGATCCTGTGGTCCCGGGTTCGATCCCGGGCGCCGGCGAGAAACAATGGGCAGAGTTTCTTTCACCCTATGCCCCTGTTACCTAGCAGTAAAATAGGTACCTGGGTGTTAGTCAGCTGTCACGGGCTGCTTCCTGGGGGTGGAGGCCTGGTCGAGGACCGGGCCGCGGGGACACTAAAAGCCCCGAAATCATCTCAAGATAACCTCAAGATAACAGGCTTATGTGTAGTCAATACAGGAGGAGACTGGTGAACTACCTAGTTAGACTTAAAGTAACTTTAATGCTGAAACGATGGTAATGGTAATTGAAAATACAGATCAGTGTGTTATCTTGACATGATAGGTTATCTTAAGATGATTTCGGGGCTTTTTAGTGTCCCCGCGGCCCGGTCCTTGACCAGGCCTCCACCCCCAGGAAGCAGCCCGTGACAGCTGACTAACACCCAGGTACCTATTTTACTGCTAGGTAACAGGGGCATAGGGTGAAAGAAACTCTGCCCATTGTTTCTCGCCGGCGCCCGGGAT